ACGTTCATGTCACACTCGATGATGGAGACTGTGTGTGTGTGTAGTGTGTATGTGTAGTGTGTGTACTGTGTGTGTACTGTGTGTACTGTATGTACTGTATGTGTACTGTATGTGTGAGTCTCACGTTCATGTCACACTCGATGATGGAGACTGTGTGTGTGTGTAGTGTGTATGTGTAGTGTGTGTACTGTGTGTGTACTGTGTGTACTGTATGTGTACTGTATGTACTGTATGTGAGTCTCACGTTCATGTCACACTCGATGATGGAGACTGTGTGTGTGTGTAGTGTGTATGTGTAGTGTGTGTACTGTGTGTGTACTGTGTGTACTGTATGTGTACTGTATGTACTGTATGTGAGTCTCACGTTCATGTCACACTCGATGATGGAGACTGTGTGTGTGTGTAGTGTGTATGTGTAGTGTGTGTACTGTGTGTGTACTGTGTGTACTGTATGTACTGTATGTGTACTGTATGTGTGAGTCTCACGTTCATGTCACACTCGATGATGGAGACTGTGTGTGTGTGTAGTGTGTATGTGTAGTGTGTGTACTGTGTGTGTACTGTGTGTACTGTATGTACTGTATGTGTACTGTATGTGTGAGTCTCACGTTCATGTCACACTCGATGATGGAGACTGTGTGTGTGTGTAGTGTGTATGTGTAGTGTGTGTACTGTGTGTGTACTGTGTGTACTGTATGTACTGTATGTGTACTGTATGTGTGAGTCTCACGTTCATGTCACACTCGATGATGGAGACTGTGTGTGTGTGTAGTGTGTATGTGTAGTGTGTGTACTGTGTGTGTACTGTGTGTACTGTATGTGTACTGTATGTACTGTATGTGAGTCTCACGTTCATGTCACACTCGATGATGGAGACTGTGTGTGTGTGTATGTGTAGTGTGTGTACTGTGTGTGTACTGTGTGTACTGTATGTGTACTGTATGTGTGAGTCTCACGTTCATGTCACACTCGATGATGGAGACTGTGTGTGTGTGTAGTGTGTATGTGTAGTGTGTGTACTGTGTGTGTACTGTGTGTACTGTATGTACTGTATGTGTACTGTATGTGTGAGTCTCACGTTCATGTCACACTCGATGATGGAGACTGTGTGTGTGTGTAGTGTGTATGTGTAGTGTGTGTACTGTGTGTGTACTGTGTGTACTGTATGTACTGTATGTGTACTGTATGTGTGAGTCTCACGTTCATGTCACACTCGATGATGGAGACTGTGTGTGTGTGTAGTGTGTATGTGTAGTGTGTGTACTGTGTGTGTACTGTGTGTACTGTATGTACTGTATGTGTACTGTATGTGTGAGTCTCACGTTCATGTCACACTCGATGATGGAGACTGTGTGTGTGTGTAGTGTGTATGTGTAGTGTGTGTACTGTGTGTGTACTGTGTGTACTGTATGTGTACTGTATGTACTGTATGTGAGTCTCACGTTCATGTCACACTCGATGATGGAGACTGTGTGTGTGTGTAGTGTGTATGTGTAGTGTGTGTACTGTGTGTGTACTGTGTGTACTGTATGTGTACTGTATGTGTGAGTCTCACGTTCATGTCACACTCGATGATGGAGACTGTGTGTGTGTGTAGTGTGTATGTGTAGTGTGTGTACTGTGTGTGTACTGTGTGTACTGTGTGTGTACTGTGTGTGTACTGTATGTACTGTGTGTACTGTATGTACTGTATGTGTACTGTATGTGTGTGTCTCACGTTCATGTCACACTCGATGATGGAGACTGTGTGTGTAGTGTGTGTAGTGTGTGTGTGTACTGTGTGTGTACTGTGTGTACTGTGTGTGTACTGTGTGTGTACTGTATGTGTCTGTGTGTGTGTACTGTGTGTGTGTAGTGTGTGTGTACTGTGTGTGTGTAGTGTGTGTAGTGTGTGTGTGTAGTGTGTGTGTAGTGTGTGTAGTGTGTGTGTGTACTGTGTGTACTGTATGTGTACTGTATGTACTGTGTGTACTGTATGTACTGTATGTGTACTGTATGTGAGTCTCACGTTCATGTCACACTCGATGATGGAGACTGCCCTGTCTGGCTTCGTCTCCATCACACACAGCTCATACACCTGGGGGGGGGGGGGGAGGAGACACGGGGGGTCACGGGGGGTCACGGGGGGGTCACGGGGGGTTACGGGGGGTCACGGGGGGTTCACCGGGGGGTCACGGGGGGACGTGGGGGGGTCACGGGGGGTCACGGGGGGGGGTCAAGGGGGGTTCACCGGGGGGTCACGGGGGGTCACGGGGGGGGTCACGGGAGGGTCACGGGGGAGACATGCCGGGTGAGCGTGGCCTGACTCACCACCTGACTCACCGCCTGACTCACCGCCTGACTCACCGCCTGACTCACCTCCTGACTCACCGCCTGACTCACCGCCTGACTCACCGCCTGACTCACCGCCTGACTCACCGCCTGACTCACCGCCTGACTCACCACCTGACTCACCGCCTGACTCACCTCCTGACTCACCACCTGACTCACCTCCTGACTCACCGCCTGACTCACCTCCTGACTCACCACCTGACTCACCACCTGACTCACCGCCTGACTCACCACCTGACTCACCACCTGACTCACCACCTGACTCACCACCTGACTCACCACCTGACTCACCGCCTGACTCACCGCCTGACTCACCGCCTGACTCACCTCCTGACTCACCGCCTGACTCACCGCCTGACTCACCGCCTGACTCACCGCCTGACTCACCGCCTGACTCACCGCCTGACTCACCGCCTGACTCACCGCCTGACTCACCACCTGACTCACCTCCTGACTCACCACCTGACTCACCACCTGACTCACCACCTGACTCACCACCTGACTCACCTCCTGACTCACCACCTGACTCACCACCTGACTCACCTCCTGACTCACCGCCTGACTCACCGCCTGACTCACCGCCTGATTCACCACCTGACTCACCACCTGACTCACCACCTGACTCACCACCCGACTCACCACCCGACTCACCACCCGACTCACCTCATGACTCACCTCATGACTCACCTCCTGACTCACCTCCTGACTCACCACCCGACTCACCTCCCGACTCACCACCCGACTCACCGCCCGACTCACCGCCCGACTCACCGCCCGACTCACCGCCCGATTCACCACCTGACTCACCACCTGACTCACCACCCGACTCACCACCCGACTCACCACCCGACTCACCTCATGACTCACCTCATGACTCACCTCCTGACTCACCACCTGACTCACCACCCGACTCACCACCCGACTCACCACCCGACTCACCTCCCGACTCACCACCCGACTCACCACATGACTCACCTCCTGACTCACCTCCTGACTCACCACCTGACTCACCGCCTGACTCACCTCCTGACTCACCACCTGACTCACCTCCTGACTCACCACCTGACTAACCACCTGACTCACCTCCTGACTCACCACCTGACTCACCTCCTGACTCACCACCCGACTCACCACCCGACTCACCACCCGACTCACCGCCCGACTCACCGCCTGACTCACCGCCTGACTCACCGCCTGACTCACCGCCTGACTCACCACCCGACTCACCACCCGACTCACCACCCGACTCACCTCCTGACTCACCTCCTGACTCACCACCTGACTCACCACCTGACTCACCGCCTGACTCACCGCCTGACTCACCTCCTGACTCACCACCTGACTCACCTCCTGACTCACCACCTGACTCACCTCCTGACTCACCACCCGACTCACCACCCGACTCACCTCCTGACTCACCACCTGACTCACCACCTGACTCACCTCCTGACTCACCACCCGACTCACCACCCGACTCACCTCCCGACTCACCTCCTGACTCACCACCCGACTCACCACCCGACTCACCTCCCGACTCACCGCCTGACTCACCGCCTGACTCACCGCCTGACTCACCACCTGACTCACCGCCTGACTCACCACCCGACTCACCACCCGACTCACCACCCGACTCACCACCCGACTCACCTCCTGACTCACCTCCTGACTCACCACCTGACTCACCGCCTGACTCACCGCCTGACTCACCGCCTGACTCACCGCCTGACTCACCTCCTGACTCACCACCTGACTCACCACCTGACTCACCTCCTGACTCACCACCCGACTCACCACCCGACTCACCTCCTGACTCACCACCTGACTCACCACCTGACTCACCTCCTGACTCACCACCCGACTCACCACCCGACTCACCTCCCGACTCACCTCCCGACTCACCACCCGACTCACCTCCTGACTCACCACCTGACTCACCTCCTGACTCACCACCTGACTCACCTCCTGACTCACCACCCGACTCACCACCCGACTCACCTCCCGACTCACCGCCTGACTCACCGCCTGACTCACCGCCTGACTCACCGCCTGACTCACCACCCGACTCACCACCCGACTCACCACCCGACTCACCACCTGACTCACCTCCTGACTCACCTCCTGACTCACCACCTGACTCACCTCCTGACTCACCACCTGACTCACCACCTGACTCACCGCCTGACTCACCTCCTGACTCACCACCTGACTCACCTCCTGACTCACCACCTGACTCACCACCTGACTCACCTCCTGACTCACCACCCGACTCACCACCCGACTCACCTCCTGACTCACCACCTGACTCACCACCTGACTCACCTCCTGACTCACCACCCGACTCACCACCCGACTCACCTCCTGACTCACCTCCTGACTCACCACCCGACTCACCTCCCGACTCACCACCTGACTCACCTCCTGACTCACCTCCTGACTCACCACCTGACTCACCACCTGACTCACCTCCTGACTCACCGCCCGACTCACCACCCGACTCACCTCCTGACTCACCTCCTGACTCACTACCTGACTCACCGCCTGACTCACCGCCTGACTCACCGCCTGACTCACCGCCTGACTCACCGCCTGACTCACCTCCTGACTCACCACCTGACTCACCTCCTGACTCACCACCTGACTCACCACCTGACTCACCTCCTGACTCACCTCCTGACTCACCTCCTGACTCACCACCTGACTCACCACCTGACTCACCACCTGACTCACCTCCTGACTCACCACCTGACTCACCTCCTGACTCACCACCTGACTCACCACCTGACTCACCACCTGACTCACCGCCTGACTCACCGCCTGACTCACCTCCTGACTCACCACCTGACTCACCACCTGACTCACCACCTGACTCACCGCCTGACTCACCGCCTGACTCACCACCCGACTCACCTCCCGAGTCACCACCTGACTCACCACCTGACTCACCACCTGACTCACCTCCTGACTCACCACCTGACTCACCGCCTGACTCACCACCCGACTCACCACCTGACTCACCACCTGACTCACCACCTGACTCACCACCCAACTCACCTCCTGAGTCACCACCTGACTCACCACCTGACTCACCACCTGACTCACCGCCTGACTCACCGCCTGACTCACCACCTGACTCACCTCCTGACTCACCGCCCGACTCACCACCCGACTCACCTCCTGACTCACCTCGTGACTCACCACCCGACTCACCTCCTGACTCACCACCTGACTCACCTCCTGACTCACCACCTGACTCACCTCCTGACTCACCACCTGACTCACCGCCTGACTCACCGCCTGACTCACCACCTGACTCACCGCCTGACTCACCACCTGACTCACCGCCTGACTCACCACCTGACTCACCTCCTGACTCACCACCTGACTCACCGCCTGACTCACCTCCTGACTCACCACCTGACTCACCACCTGACTCACCTCCTGACTCACCACCTGACTCACCTCCTGACTCACCACCTGACTCACCACCTGACTCACCACCTGACTCACCTCCTGACTCACCGCCTGACTCACCGCCTGACTCACCGCCTGACTCACCACCTGACTCACCGCCTGACTCACCTCCTGACTCACCGCTTGACTCACCACCTGACTCACCACCTGACTCACCGCCTGACTCACCACCTGACTCACCACCTGACTCACCACCTGACTCACCGCCTGACTCACCTCCTGACTCACCACCTGACTCACCACCTGACTCACCGCCTGACTCACCGCCTGACTCACCACCTGACTCACCGCCTGACTCACCGCCTGACTCACCGCCTGACTCACCGCCTGACTCACCGCCTGACTCACCGCCTGACTCACCGCCTGACTCACCGCCTGACTCACCGCCTGACTCACCACCTGACTCACCACCTGACTCACCACCTGACTCACCACCTGACTCACCTCCTGACTCACCACCTGACTCACCGCCTGACTCACCGCCTGACTCACCGCCTGACTCACCGCCTGACTCACCTTGTCGTTGTAGGTGATGGCGATGACGTCAGTGGTGGTGAGACAGGCGAAGTTGCGCAGAGCGTTCTCTAGCCTAGTACAGCATCATGGGTCAAGGGTCAAGGGTCACACGGTGGGTGGGTGAGTGGGTGGGTGGGTGAGTGGGTGGGTGGGTGAGTGAGAGGGTGAGTGGGTGAGTGAGTGGGTGAGTGGGTGGGTGAGTGAGAGGGTGAGTGGGTGAGTGGGTGGGTGAGTGGGTGAGTGGGTGGGTGAGTGGGTGGGTGAGTGGGTGGGTGGGTGAGTGAGTGAGTGGGTGAGTGAGTGGGTGGGTGAGTGGGTGAGTGAGTGGGTGAGTGGGTGGGTGGGTGAGTGGGTGAGTGGGTGGGTGGGTGGGTGGGTGAGTGGGTGAGTGGGTGGGTGGGTGGGTGGGTGAGTGGGTGGGTGAGTGGGTGGGTGAGTGAGTGAGTGGGTGGGTGGGTGGGTGAGTGGGTGAGTGAGTGAGTGGGTGAGTGGGTGGGTGAGTGAGTGGGTGGGTGAGTGGGTGGGTGGGTGAGAGGGTGAGTGGGTGAGTGAGTGAGTGGGTGGGTGGGTGAGTGGGTGAGTGGGTGAGTGAGTGAGAGGGTGAGTGGGTGAGTGAGTGGGTGAGTGAGTGGGTGAGTGAGTGGGTGAGTGGGTGAGTGAGTGAGTGAGTGAGAGGGTGAGTGGGTGAGTGAGTGGGTGAGTGGGTGAGTGAGTGAGTGAGTGGGTGAGTGAGTGAGTGAGTGGGTGAGTGAGTGAGTGAGTGGGTGAGTGAGTGAGTGGGTGAGTGGGTGAGTGAGTGGGTGAGTGGGTGGGTGGGTGGGTGAGTGAGTGGGTGGGTGAGTGAGTGGGTGAGTGGGTGAGTGAGTGAGTGAGTGAGTGGGTGAGTGAGTGAGTGGGTGAGTGGGTGGGTGAATGGGTGAGTGAGTGGGTGAGTGAGTGAGTGAGTAGGTGAGTGAGTGAGTGAGTGGGTGAGTGAGTGGGTAAGTGAGTGAGTGGGTGAGTGAGTGAGTGAGTAGGTGAGTGAGTAGGTGAGTGAGTGGGTGAGTGAGTAGGTCAGTGAGTGGGTGAGTGAGTGAGTGAGTAGGTGAGTGAGTGGGTGAGTGAGTAGGTCAGTGAGTGGGTGAGTGAGTGAGTGGGTGAGTGAGTGAGTGAGCAGTAGGGATACACGGCCTTGGGGTTGGTGATGTCCAGGAAGTCGACGGACTGGGGCTGGAACTTGGAGTAGGTGGCTACGTGAAGGTTCACACTCTCCACCTGCAGCAGCTCACCCTCGTCCACAAACAGATTACGCATCATCTACACACAGACACACACACAGACACACACACACACAGTGACACACACACAGTGACACACACAGTGACACACACACAGTGACACACACACAGTGACACACACACACAGTGACACACACACAGTGACACACACACAGTGACACACACACAGTGACACACACACACAGTGACACACACACACAGTGACACACACACAGTGACACACACACAGTGACACACACAGTGACACACACACACAGTGACACACACACACACAGTGACACACACACAGTGACACACACACAGACACACACAGACACACACACAGTGACACACACACAGTGACACACACACAGACACACACACACAGTGACACACACAGTGACACACACACAGTGACACACACACACAGTGACACACACACACAGTGACACACACACAGTGACACACACACACACAGTGACACACACACACAGTGACACACACACACAGTGACACACACACACAGTGACACACACACAGTGACACACACACACACAGTGACACACACACACAGTGACACACACACACAGTGACACACACAGTGACACACACACAGACACACACAGACACACACACAGTGACACACACAGTGACACACACACACAGTGACACACACACAGTGACACACACACACAGTGACACACACACACAGACACAGACACACACAGACACAGACACACACAGTGACACACACACACTGACACACACACACATACACACACACATACACACACATACACACACACACAGACAACAACAACAACCGCCATTCGCCACTAAGTGGCGGTGACGTCACCACGACGCTTGTGCCAGGCTATGTGCACCCTGAGGCCACGTGAAGTGTCGAACGCCCGCTGGCAGGAGGTCATGGGGCAGACCCAGGTGCCACGGGTCGACTGACTGAGATGACTGGCTGATCCACCACCTGTGCCCCCTACTGTGCCAACCTGCTGTGCTTTAGCTACCCGGCGCTCCGCTCGTTGTTGTGAGCGTCGCTCCTCCGCCCTCCGTTGTTGTTGGAGGGCGACTGCCTCCAACTGCCCAGTAGCATCCTTCACGAGCCTCCTCCACAGAGGCCGATCTTGACACCGCTGGTACCAGTCATCGGCAAGTCCACTCAGCTCCACGTCCTCCTGTACCACATCACTCCATCTCTTCTCTAGCCCGTGCTGCGCCCGCTTAGCCCCCTCAATCCGGCCAAACAAAAGCTGTTTCGGCATGCGGTGGCTGGGCATGCGGGCTACATGACCCAGCCATCGCAGCCTTGCCCGCCGGAGGAGCTCACCGATGGGACCTTGCCCAGATCTTTCAAGGATTTGTGAGCTCCTCACACAATCCAGTCTGGTTAAACCCAGGATGGATCGTAGGCAGGCCAGCCTAAATGTTTCCAACCGGCGAAGATGTTCCATTAGGGGGGTCCACGTTTCGCAAGCGTAGAGAAGGGAGGGAATGACCGTGGCCGAGAAGACCTGAAGCTGAGTGCGGAGCGACAGACCAGGTAGCTTCCACACAGCGTTACGCAACCGATGAAAAGATATTGCCGCTCGACTGATTCGGAGTGAGACCTCTGCTGTTAAACTGGAGCCGGTCATAAGCACACTGCCCAGGTATGGGAAACTCTCCACTCTCTCCACAACTGCCCCATCACCGATTGGGAGTTGTGGGGGTGGAGTGTCCGATGGTAGAAAATACCCAGGCAGGTGCTTAGTTTTGGTGGGGTTGATGGTAAGGCCCCATCTCTTAGTGGCACGCTCCAGTCTCAGCAGCAGCGTCTCCAACTCCTCCTCTGACTGAGCAGCTATTACCAAGTCATCAGCATACATAACGTGGTTGACCAATAGGGAGCCATCCCTTGACCGCACCCGGGCATCGATCAGCCTCCCATTATATCTGTACCATATGGAGATTCCCCCGGTACAGATATTGAAGGCTTCACAAACTACGTGGTCAAAATAGATGTTAAATAATGTGGGAGCCAGAGGAAATCCCTGTCGCACCCTAAGGTGTACAGGGAATGGCTCTGACTCCCGGCCACGTAGTTATACCCGGGCCCGCTCACCATCATGAAGGTCCTTAATGATCGTGAGCAGAGGGTCAGGTACTCCAAAAGCACGAAGAACAACCCAGAGCCCAGGCCTACTGATGGTATCATAGGCCTTGACCAGGTCAATAAAGCAGAGATGTAGGTCTTGCTGGAATTCCCTACACCTCTGCTGTAGCAGACGGACAGAAAATATGGCATCTGTGCAGGACCGCCCTTTCCTGAAACCGCATTGGGGCTCCGCAAGCCTCTCACACACAAACACACACACACCCAAGCAGACACACACACATGCACGTAGCTGAGTGTGTAGGTGAGTGTGTAGGTGAGTGAGTAGGTGTGTAGGTGAGTGAGTAGGTGAGTGAGTAGGTGAGTAGGTGAGTGACTAGGTGAATGAGTAGGTGAGTGAGTAGGTGTGTAGGTGAGTGAGTAGGTGAGTAGGTGAGTGACTAGGTGAGTGTGTAGGTGAGTGAGTAGGTGAGTGAGTAGGTGTGTAGGTGAGTGAGTAGGTGAGTAAGTGAGTGACTAGGTGAGTGAGTAGGTGAGTGTGTAGGTGAGTGAGTAGGTGAGTGAGTAGGTGAGTGTGTAGGTGAGTAGGTGAGTGAGTAGGTGAGTAGGTGAGTGAGTAGGTGAGTAGGTGAGTGAGTAGATGAGTGTGTAGGTGAGTAGGTGAGTGAGTAGGTGAGTGAGTAGGTGAGTAGGTGAGTGTGTAGGTGAGTAGGTGTGTAGGCGAGTTTGTAGGTGAGTGAGTAGGTGAGTGTGTAGGTGAGTAGGTGAGTGAGTAGGTGAGTAGGTGAGTGAGTAGGTGAGTGTGTAGGTGAGTAGGTGAGTGAGTAGGTGAGTGTGTAGGTGAGTAGGTGAGTGAGTAGGTGAGTGAGTAGGTGAGTGAGTAGGTGAGTGTGTAGGTGAGTAGGTGAGTGAGTAGGTGAGTAGGTGAGTAGGTGAGTGAGTAGGTGAGTGTGTAGGTGAGTAGGTGAGTGTGTAGGTGAGTGGTGAGTAGGTGAGTGAGTAGGTGAGTAGGTGAGTAGGTGAGTGAGTAGGTGAGTGAGTAGGTGAGTGAGTAGGTGAGTGAGTAGGTGAGTAGGTGAGTGAGTAGGTGAGTGAGTAGGTGAGTGAGTAGGTGAGTAGGTAAGTAGGTGAGTGTGTAGGTGAGTAGGTGAGTGAGTTGGTGAGTGAGTAGGTGAGTGAGGTGAGTAGGTGAGTGTGTAGGTGAGTGAGTAGGTGAGTGTGTAGGTGAGTGAGTAGGTAAGTGAGTAGGTGAGTGTGTAGGTGAGTGAGTAGGTGAGTGAGTAGGTGAGTAGGTGAGTGTGTAGGTGAGTGTGTAGGTGAGTGAGTAGGTGAGTGAGTAGGTGAGTGTGTAGGTGAGTAGGTGAGTGTGTAGGTGAGTGTGTAGGTGAGTGTGTAGGTGAGTGTGTAGGTGAGTGAGTAGGTGAGTGAGTGAGTAGGTGAGTGTGTAGGTGAGTGAGTAGGTGAGTGACTAGGTGAGTGAGTAGGTGAGTGTGTAGGTGAGTGAGTAGGTGAGTGAGTAGGTGTGTAGGTGAGTAGGTGAGTGAGTAGGTGAGTGAGTGAGTAGGTGAGTGTGTAGGTGAGTGAGTAGGTGAGTAGGTGAGTGTGTAGGTGAGTAGGTGAGTGACTAGGTGAGTGAGTAGGTGAGTGTGTAGGTGAGTGAGTAGGTGAGTAGGTGAGTGTGTAGGTGAGTAGGTGAGTAGGTGAGTGAGTAGGTGAGTGAGTAGGTGAGTGTGTAGGTGAGTGAGTAGGTGAGTGAGTAGGTGAGTGTGTAGGTGAGTAGGTGAGTGAATAGGTGAGTGAGTAGGTGAGTGTGTAGGTGAGTGAGTAGGGGTGTAGGTGAGTAGGTGAGTGTGTAGGTGAGTGTGTAGGTGAGTGAGTAGGTGAGTGTGTAGGCGAGTGAGTAGGTGTGTAGGTGAGTAGGTGAGTGGGTAGGTGAGTGAGTGAGTGAGTAGGTGAGTAGGTGAGTGAGTAGATGAGTGAGTAGGTGAGTGTGTAGGTGAGTGTGTAGGTGAGTGAGTAGGTGTGTAGGTGAGTGAGTAGGTGAGTAGGTGAGTAGGTGAGTGAGTAGGTGAGTGTGAAGGTGAGTGAGTAGGTGTGTAGGTGAGTAGGTGAGTGAGTAGGTGAGTGAGTAGGTGAGTGTGTAGGTGAGTGAGTAGGTGAGTAGGTGAGTGAGTAGATGAGTGAATAGGTGAGTGTGTAGGTGAGTGAGTAGGTGAGTGAGTAGGTGAGTAGGTGAGTAGGTGAGTGAGTAGGTGAGTAGGTGAGTGAGTAGGTGAGTGAGTAGGTGAGTGCGTAGGTGAGTAGGTAAGTAGGTGAGTGTGTAGGTGAGTAGGTGAGTGAGTAGGTGAGTGAGTAGGTGAGTGAGTAGGTGAGTAGGTGAGTGTGTAGGTGAGTGAGTAGGTGAGTGAGTAGGTGAGTGAGTAAGTGAGTGTGTAGGTGAGTGGGTAGGTAAGCAGGTGAGTGAGTAGGTGAGTAGGTGAGTGTGTAGGTGAGTGAGTAGGTGAGTAGGTGAGTGTGTAGGTGAGTAGGTGAGTGAGTAGGTGAGTGTGTAGGTGAGTAGGTGAGTGTGTAGGTGAGTGTGTAGGTGAGTGTGTAGGTGAGTGAGTAGGTGTGTAGGTGATTAGGTGAGTGTGTAGGTGAGTGTGTAGGTGAGTGAGTAGGTGAGTGTGTAGGTGAGTGAGTAGGTGTGTAGGTGAGTGGGTAGGTGAGTGAGTGAGTGAGTAGGTGAGTAGGTGAGTGAGTAGATGAGTGAGTAGGTGAGTGTGTAGGTGAGTGTGTAGGTGAGTGAGTAGGTGTGTAGGTGAGTAGGTGAGTGAGTAAGTGAGTAGGTGAGTAGGTGAGTGAGTAGGTGAGTGTGTAGGTAAGTGAGTAGGTGAGTAGGTGAGTGAGTAGGTGAGTGAGTAGGTGAGTAGGTGAGTAGGTTAGTGAGT